AAAAAAAATTGTAGTCGCCTTTATAACAACTATTTTTAGGAGAAACTTCCTTAGACATTTTTTTTTCACGTAGGTTCATGGTAAGCTGAAAATAATCACAATTCGACATAACAAAATCCTATTTGAAATTTTTACTTATATTAGAAATTTCAAATGATAGTTATCAGTTAGATAAGTAAGTTTATATAAAAATTAAGCCCATGCCGCTAAATTATGACGAATATACTTTTTGTATTTATTCCTCTTGTTCAGTATACGCATAGACTAGAAATATCAGTCAATTTTAGTTATCCTCGACACATTCAATCAAGCATGACTTATTATCAGACTTTTTCGTACTTATTAAATATATATTTATAGTTTGAACTTACTTTAGCTTCTTCAGCTGTAATACGGTGAACACAAAATCGTCCTTTAATGTCGTAGATTAAACGGAAGTGTTCTCCTGTTTTTTCAATTGTAATAACGTCTAAATAAAATGAAATTAAAATAAAATGAAATTAGATATTTATTTTTCTTTTAACAAACCCATAAAACCAGCTGGAAAGAGAAAATCAGTTCGTACACGACCATCGATTTTAATAAGACGTTGTTTACAAATTTTTCTTGCTTCAACATATGTTAAAGCATATTTCAAACGATTACGTAAAAAGATGATCATTGGTAAACATTCACGTGTTTTGTGTGGACCAGCTGATGGTTTTGGTGCGAATGTTCCACCCAATTTATCAAGCATCCAATGTTTTGGTGCATGAAGTCGTTTCAAATGTTTACGAATACCACGATACTAAAAAAAAATTAAATATAAATTAAATTTTCAAAATATTTCATTTCACACTTACACCCATTGTTGTTGTTAAAGATCTAGATTACGATCTAAAAGAAAAACAAAATTTAAAACCAAGTCAAGTAGATAGAAAAAAAACACTATGGTCAGTCACTATGTGTCTATAGAAAAATGATGAATGAAAATAAAAGAAACAAACCAATCCATGCTTTAGACATAAATACCGAACATTTGTTTATGAAAATTTTTTTTTCGAAATTATTTTCTAAAACTATTTATTAAAAAAATTTCTAGAAAGAAATATAGAAATTTCATAGATTAATACAAAGATTTGTATAAGTGTATAAATGTGTTATGTAAATCAATGTAGAGGTAATGAAGAAAAGAAAATCAAAATGGTTATTTTGTTCTTTCCTATCGTTTCTTTTTTTGTTGGAAGAAAAATAAAATGTCAGGAGGTAAGAAATAAATATGTCAACTTTTTCTTTTTTTCTAATTAGAATTAATTTTCTTCCTAGTTGAACTTGATCTTGTTTGTCCAGAAATTGATGTTGATGATTTTTCATCAGTATCAAGTATGTATCGATTAAAAACAATGAATATTTCATTATTAATCTTTCTATTTAGAAACAAATCATAATGAGAATAGTTTCGTCGAAGAAGAACAAGTAATAATAATTCAAGTATTATTTTACCAATTAAATATCTTTCTTTCGTCTATTAGATGTCTGAAGAAACTCCACCAATTATTAACCTTGAAACTCAAGCATCTAATGATAATATTCTTACAAAAAACATTGATTCCAATGGTAAATTTAAATATATAAATAATATAATTAATATTTTTTTTCGTAGAAGAATTAACTGATTCAAATTCGAATTATATACCAACGGAAATAATACAAGAAAATGAAGCAACATCAATAAATTTACCAGAAACTCCAGTTGAAGAACCAACAATAACATTTAATAGTAATTAATTAAAATTATATAAAATATATAAATCTATTTTCGGGTATTTTAGATGAAAAAGAACTTGCTGCATTGAATAATATATTTAATGATTCAGTTTATTTTTTAATTAAAAGTGGAAATGAAGAAAATGTTTCATTAGCTAAAGCTAAAGTAAATAAACATTCTTTTCGTTATTATTATTAATAATAATATTTTTTTTTCAAGGGTGTATGGTCAACACCACCAGCGAATGAAAATAAACTTAATCGAGCATTTCGAGTAAAATTAATTTTATATAAATAAAAATTGATATAATATTGATTTTTCTTTTTTTAGCAATATCAAAATGTTATTTTAATATTTTCAGTTGCAGAAAGTAAAGCATTTCAAGGTTTTGCTCGTATGTCAGGTGAAGCTCGTCATGATAGTCAACCAATTAATTGGGTACTACCACCTGGTATGAGCAATCGAGCATTTTCTGGTGTTATTCCTATTGATTGGGTTTCACGGTAAGTCAAGATATTTATGTTTTTTTGTATAGAATAATCGATAGGTACTAAATGAGTTATATAATTTCGAATATTTATTGTCTCTCGATAAAAATAAACAAGTTTTTTTCGTATTTCTAGACGAAGTTTACCATTTAATCAAACTCTTCATTTGTTTAATTCATGGAATGAAAATAAACCTGTTAAAATTGGACGTGATGGACAGGTATTCATAATTTTGAGTTTATCATATGTTAACTATTAGTTGTATATTCTAGGAAATTGAACCACGTTGTGCTGAAGCTTTATGTCGTTCATTTCCACCTGATCCAACAATTGATATAATAACTATATCAAAAAAATCCGTCAAACGTATATCATCACGATCACGATCACCATTATCGATAAATCCATCGAAAGATTTAAATCATCATTCATCATCACAACGTTCATCCAATTCTATTGATCGTCATAGGTCAGATGTGACTCTTTATTTAATAATTATTCGTCTTACAAATTTGGCTATCATCTTTTCTACTACTAATTTAAATCAGTACAGAACTTTAAAAAAAGGTGTTGGTTGATAGAGATATTCTTTCTTTTCTTGCGAATTATTATTGGTTACAAATATTACAATGAAAAACAAGATGATGATGATGCCAATTTTATACGATGAACTTGAACAAGAAAATAAATAAAAGAATTATTCAAAGAACTTTTATTTTATTAGAGACTATATTTATATGTTTATTTTATATAAAAAAATGAATGTTCCTTTTTTTTAGCAGAATTGAGAATACGATTATTTTGTAAGATATATAAATTCGAGTCACTATATATATATGCTAAAGAAAAAAAAACAATAAATAAAAAAGAATATTGTTGGTGATATTTGTTAATCTTAATTTAGACATCAACGATCAAGAAGTCGAGAACGAAGCAGTAAAGAATCACGTCATAAACGACGACATCGATCAAGTATGTTTATTAAAAGTCAAATATATGTATTTTTTATGCATGAATATCTCTAATTCTTTACATAGAAGGGAATTGATTTTAGTTATCGAGTTTATGAATTATTTAATATTCCTTTTCATGACTGTATACATTATAGCTGCTAAAATAACAATATTTCAATATATATATATATGCGAACTCAAATTTTCTTTTAATAGATTCTGAAAGATAAAGAAATTTCCCATAAGATTATTTTTTAGGAATATATTTTTAAATAATTTTCTATTTTTCATCAGCATCATCACATTCTGATCATGGAAATAGACGTAGTACGAGTCGAAAGCGTTCACATCGGGATAATGAAAATCCTGCAGTACCTAAACATGTCGACAAAACAATGTCACATATAATGGCTAATGGAGTAAGATACAAAATTAAATCCCTTTATTTTATTGAGTTTTTTTTTCATTTTGTATAGACATATGAGGATTATGTAAAATATATGTATGAAAGTCAAACACAATATGCCGGTTTTCCACCAACTATGTTTCCACCTACGGTATTTTATTTTAAAAATCATTTTGATAATTCATATTTATTTAATCTATTTAGGGTTATCCAATGATGTATGATCCAGCCAGTGCTTATCCTATGGGTTATGATCCTCATAGTATGCATAGTGGACCTTACGGAGATCCAACAAATATGTATTTACCACAACCTTCGTCATCTGTATCTCAAAATGCATCTGAAGTAAATTGATATATTATTCAAAATGAAAAAATTCAATTTTTTTTTTCTTCTTCATTAGTATGAACAAGAAATCAATGCATTTCTTCGTCACACAACATCATCATCACATAAAGAAAATGATAATGGAAATAAATCACATCGAAATCATCATCATTATAAAACATCATCAACATCATTTCGGCATCGTTCAAAATCTCGTGAACATCGTCGTTAAAAATTACTCGAGAATATCTATGTTGCTTTTCTTTTGTGTTCTGTTTTCCTTCTTTTTCTTTTGATTTTTGTTTTTTTTTGAATGTGTACTCTGTGATACAAAGAAAATTTATCTAATAAAACAAAATGAAACAAAATGATCTATTACGAAATTTAAATCTAAATCATGAATAATAAATAAGTCATCAATGATTCTAATTCATTGTGTCCTTATACTTAAAGTTAATCATATCAAACAAGGATTTATTTAAATAAGTTTGTGTAGGAAAGACTAATTGAATAAGATAAGATATATTTAAAAACAGTACATACAAGCTAGATTTATTTGTGTATAAATATATATGAAAAATTATGTACATTGTTGTTATTTAACAAGAAAAAGAAATATATTCATTCATATTTAGGCAAGTATTATGTACGAGAAGAATAAGTAAAAAGAACCGAAAGAAGATAGACTTTATTTGCAATTTTGTCGTTCGGAGGGTATATGCATATATATTGTACAATTCGTAGGACAAAGAACCTTTTCTTCTCTTCTTCTTCTTCTTTTTATACATATATATATATAATACGAAAGTATGGTGACACAGATGTGCTCTTTTGTCATCATCATCACATTTGACAACTTGTCTCAACGAATACAAGAATAATAGAAAGGTAATTTGTTATTCTCCCTTCGCAATTAATACACATATATGTATTTATCAAAAGTAAACAGTTGGATATTTCTTCTTTTTTCGAAATTTCTATATCAAATTTCGTATACTCTTGAGACAGTCTCAATGTCAAACTGATCATTTGTCTATATATAACAAAAAAATATGTTATAAAAATATTTCTCTACATTCATACTCATATAATATCGAATAGTAATAGTCATTCTAGTTCAAAAATTTCTTAACAGGTAAGTTACAATTGAAAAAAATCGAGTTTTTTTTTTCGTCAAGAAAGAAAAAGAAATTGATATATGTTTATCTTTATTCTTCTTCTTATTTTTACAACTCACTGGTTTATATATATATGACAAAAACACATGATATAGATTATTAATCGTTTTTGCCTTTATCTAATTTTTCCTATTGTTTTGACTCTTCGCAAATATAAAAATTTTTTTGCTATTCGTTTCTTGCCTGTTTATACCTATTGGGCATATATACATACATGCATACTCAATCGATCATCATTAATCTAACCTCAACGAATAGTATACGTAAATACTTTTCTACATCACATTTTTGACGGCCAACATTATTTCAATTTGATTTCATTCTTATTCAAACCCAAGAACGACATCATCGAAAAAACACGCTTCACTGTTTTTTTTCTCTCTCTTCGTTTTTTTTTATCGCTTTCAATCATATAACACTATACGTATGTTTATTGAACTTACAATTCTTTTCAATATATAATAAGAAAAGTATTCTTTCAAAATCAACAACAACCATTATAATTGATTTTTTAATCAAAACAATGATCACTATAGCAGCTAATGGTTACGGTATCAATGAAAATGAAAATATTGAATTGACACATTTTCTTTCTTATGTGATCGGTTATTTTGTATTACAAGTCGTTTGTATAATTACCGTATGTATACAAAAAAAAAAGAAAATAATCAGAAGAAAAAGCGTATAAGGTCATTTCATTATCAATCAGTTGTTTTTGTACATATATTTTGACAGAAGTCCTAGGCATA